CATCAGAATGTCCACAGCAGCAAAAACAACCTTTTCAGTCCATGTCTAGCCCTAGCCTTGCTGTAAAACATAGCTACAAGCAGAAATTTTTTTTCTCCCAATGTCTTCGGAATATCTTCTACTTACAGAAGCATAAGACAGTACAGAAATTACCTGGGCTTCCACACCGATTTCTGCTTTTAAGGCTACATTAAGTTTAATCTCATTTTGACTTTATTTTGTGCACCAAAATAGCAAAAAGGTGGATCATCATGGTATTTGTTTTGCGTGTTTGTAACCCAGTTGCCTCACACATTTCTCAGAAGTACAAGACTGAACAAAGAATCTGCTTGGGAAAAAAGAAGGGTGAATCATGCTAGTTCTGCATAAACCTGTGCTGACAAAAGAATAACATACTTGAAAGTATCTTCTGTTTTCAATTTGTTACATATTGTCTTCAGCATCTCGAACCCTGTGCCAGTAAATAACACACAAGTTAGATGGATGTAAGCTGCTACTTGACATAAATAGCAGCAATGCCATTTGTTGCTCACCTGGCTTAGAAGTAGTGGAAAAAATAGGAAAGACAAACCCAAAAAGAGTAGATGTGTGGGGACAAAGCTGACATCAGTTTTTTTACTGACCCCCTAAGACCACCTTCTTCATAACAGCACTGCACTGGTTCTCTTTCGTCATCACCACCAGGGCAATCTTATCACACCTGCTAAAATCTCACTGCCATGACTTCCTGAAGGCTACAGATTCGTAAAGAGCCTTTCACAGAGCCCTTGGTATTTCCAATATTATTGTAGTCCTGCACTCCTCACTAGTGCTTCCAAGGGTTAATTATGCTGTGCTAGACACCAGGGCACTTCCAGCAAGAGGACGAGAGATGCATGTGATCCCACCACTCATTGTATCCCCCTGACATTTTCCCAGTTTCAGCCAAGTTTTGAAAAGGCAGGAGTCTCCAAGATGTATACTTTCCATCCAGTGTAATGAGCACCAAAGCCTGGGCAACACTCAGAGGCAAAGCAGGGAGGATGGCCCATCCATTTTTGGCACTACCCCACCACAGCGCTCCTGAGTCTTTTCTGAGTGAGGTAAGAGCACTGCTAGAGCTCTCTGGGAAAGGAAGAAGAGCAAACGTAGGAAATCTGATTAGAAATAAGTATAATATTCAAAATATTATTTTGTAAGTGGATCAATCAGGATGTAATTATCATTAGTTTGCTTTGGATATAAGTGCACCAAAATACTGCAATATTGTGATGATGTAGCCCGATACAATGCATAATTATTTTATGTACATATGTAAGCCCTGTGACCACCACAGGGGCAAAAATCTGTGTAGTTGCATATCCAAGGAAGAAAAAATTACAACACAAGGGACTGCTGATAAGAAGGACATCCCCCAAAATATACAAAGATGAGTGGCAAGACAAGAAACGAGACAAGCAGTATGAGGAACAGATGAGACCCCCTCCATTTTTTGGAATGGGGCAAGTAGCATAAAACCATGCAGCTTAAGCAATATATATATTGCTAAAGATCGGTATGTAAGAGAGTGCACCACAGCATGGCACTCTGCAAAGGCTTTATAGGTATAGGAAATGAACTGAATAATGTAAAGTGCAGTCCTCTAAAACTTTTGCAGATAAAATATACCTCACATCCTTACCCAACCCTCTGCAGAGACCAGCCTTTCATTCAAAACTAATATAAATCCAAACACAATGAAATCAAGTCATCCGGTACACTATAGCCATTTCCAGACTCTTGGAATGTGTGAACGTGTGCTTTATCTCACATTCCAATGGAGTCTTACGCCGAGTGCAAAAAATACTGAGAAATACAAAGCTGAGGCCTCTTCAGGCCTGGTTGGGCTACCACTGTCAGATGGTGCCGCGGTCCGAAGGGGGGATGGGGCCGTAGCACAAGGTGGGGTGCAGGTAAAATCCTTTATTCCAGCATGCACGCGGCTTTTTATCAACTCAGGAGGGGAAAGGGCCAGAACATGGGGCGGAGTATGAGACAGACAAGCGGGGGGACAAACGAGGATAGGGACACGGGCAAAAGGGGGAGGAGTGCAGGAGGAACCGGGGAAGGGAAGGGCAAATGGGGGCTGTCTCCTCTCTGCAGCTTCTCCAGCCATCAGCAGAGAAACAGGGGAGCAGAGAAGTGAACAGGCTGGGACGTGCCCAGGAAATACAAATTCTCGGAAACATACAATGCGTATATACATAATAACTGTAAAGTCTGCATCACAAAGTCCGTTCAATTGCTGTACATATTTTTCCACTTCTGAAATCGTTCCCATTCTAATTCTTGGTCCTCAACAAGATGGCAAGTGTTTTCTGCAAATCATCTGCTTTCTCTGCTCTAAACAGAGAGAGTAAAAATGTTTATAGCTATTTGAAAAACTCCTGTCTTACTAGCAACATTCCACCAAAATGCAAACATACACCTTCTTAAACACAGTTTGCTTACTTTGGCTAGAACACAGCTTTTACAGGGTATAATGTTTATTGCAAGAGTTTCTGAGCTGAAAACATAGCTGTACAAAATTCTAACTCATTTGATTGCCTTGATTTTACAGGCTACAAATGAAAAGGAAATATAATCTCACCCCCTGCAGATGTTAAATAGTAACAATTTCCAGTCATTTCCAAAGCCACAAATGCTGTAGTGAAAAATAATCATAGTTGCAGAATCATTGTTATTGTTATAAAAAAAAATGTAACAGAATGAAAATTTAACAAAACTAATTGTTTCATCTCAGTGGAGCAGAACCCATTATGTCCACATCAAGCCCCTTTGTACTTCAAATTTAATACTACTCTTGGATCTATAAAATTAATCTTAGCGACAGAAAATAAGAATAAGCTATACAAGCTGAAAGCATTGTTAACCAAAAAAGATATGGGCTTGATCCCATAGCTCGCAGCTGACACTCTTACTCTACATCTGTCTTAAGGGTAGTGAGAAGGTATCTAGATGCCCTGACATGAGTGGGAGGAAATTTTGAGCATGGCACACCAGTGTAGCTGCTGCAGGCTGTGCCCCGAGTAATCTCCCATGCAAGCCCCAGCACCGAGGCACTTTGTGTCAAGCTGCTTCTGACACTGCTCTATGGAGGCTGCCCGAGTAAGCAACTCATATGGCCTCAGAGAAACTGCTCTGGATTCAAGACAGAAAGCCATAAAGCCAAGTTAAAAGTTTCCAGAACCCCTCTTGTTACAGGGTGCAAGTTCTACACGTCTCTATTTCATCAGCCCTGACATGTCCATTGGGAGGACATTCAGACACAGACAACAACAGTCAGACAAAGGGTAGACATGGAGCATAAGCACAGTCGAGACATATTACACCCACTGAAATAAATAGAGCATGTCTAAAGGCTTCTCCCAGCTGCATTCAGCGCTCACTCATGGCTGGCTCTTGGTTTAGACAAAGTCAGTGAAGTTTGCACAGATGGCAAACTACTGTGACTGCAGTCTCCACGTCGCTGTCATGGCACTGGAAAGCCAAGCTCACAGGAGATGCTCTTCTTGCTACTGGCCAGGTAAGGGGTGTGTGGATGAGGTGGAAGCTGTGGCACCAACAGGGAACAGGTGGGGACAGCAACAACCCCAAGCCATCACCAACCTCTCCCTTTGGCCAGTGTCCTGGAGGAGCAGAGAGTCCAGCTCTTCCTGGCACAGGCCTCAGCAACTCTCCTTTCTCCAAGGGCAGAAGGATTATTCCACACAGCTAAAAGGATTACTCTACACAGCTAACATTGAGTTAATGTACCATTAATGATACTAAATCAGAGACACTGAGTTCTTAGAGAAGAATGGGACCACTGTAGAAGTATCAACTTCTCCATTTATTTTTTTTTTTCAATTTAAAGCAGTATCTTCCTACCTAATCTTTTAGGTATGTGCTCTTAAAATTTTTGTTATGAACTAAAATACAAAATTGTTTTGTGGAAGTCAGTATGGGAAACAAACTTCATGAATGTCAGGTTGAAATTCATATTAATCAATCTTACCCTAGTTTCTTGAAGCACACAGCTAGATTGTCATCCTATTTAAGCTACCCTGAGTTCAGTATAAGTGAAGATATTTTCACTCAAGATGGCTTCACAAATATTAAATTTCTTCTATGAGTTCAAACAACCAAGGATAAAACTTAAACATACTTGACTGATGCTTATCCACAATTCATTGTTAAAAAAATAAAGCCAGGTACATTTATTTGGGAGTTAAAAAAAAAATAAAAAAAAACACATCCTCCAGTGACTTCTGACCTGTTTCCAAAATCCATTAGTCAGCCACATCAAAGTCACTATCACCAGAGAAACTACACCCATTTTTGCATGCTGACAAAGAGACCAGAAGACTGTTACTATCTGTAGGACTCTTATCAGTTCACTCGGCCTCTCTCTTTATCATTTCCACCAGCTTTATTTGATCTGAATTTGCAGGACAGAAAGTCTTTACTTACAACCATAGGCAATGCTTGACCTAGGCAACATCTCTGCAGCACAGACTGCAGAGAGGCAAAGGTTCGATAGGCCAAGGTTCATTTTTGTTTAGGTTTTTTGATCGTCCTTAAAAGTTAAGTAGAAAACTTTAAAGGTCTCTGAGAACTCAGAAAATGATAACAGGGAAACAACACCTCACAGCTATCTCATGATGTTTCAAGATTTTGCTTCAGAAAAAATAAATACTGAGATTACATACAGACAGTGTATGTTCTCCAACAGTCTTAAAATGCATCTTTTTTCCCATTTATTACTGGGATTTGTTGTTACTTGCTATGGGACCATCTGTTAGAGTTATGAATTTTCAAAACCAGAATGACAGAGAAATCTTTTAAATAAGGCAAGACAGACTAACACCACATGCTCTTTAGAAAAGCATCCTCTGTCAGCATGGGTAACATATACTTCTTGTACAAGACAAGCAATCACATCTCACACTTCTATTTTCCATTACCTTGCTTCTGTAATGTAAAGGCATTGTAGATCTTACCGCTGTACAAAAGATGCAGCTGCATTCCTGAAGAGTGGTCATCTTATCCAGGGAATATTCACAGAGACATAGCTTGCAAGTGAGTAGAGGCTCCAGAGCTAGCTCTCCAGCTTCTGACACATCAGCTGTCATGGTGTGAGGACAAGCCTTCCCAGCAGAGCCCATTCAGTCATTAATAGCCCACTCAGCCTGAAAAGAGAAATTGATAGCTGAAACATCACACAAGCTATGTAGTCACTTCTATAGGCCTGTGAATTTACATCTAAAACCCATAAAAGCACCACCACACCCAAATGTACTACTTGACATCTTAGGGCCAGTCTCCCACTTCAGGCCACTCAAAATTTATAAAGAATTTATAAAGACTGAGACCCCACCTCATCGAAAGATCTGAACTTGGCTGTGTTCTCAGAGAACATTCATCTTGCTGGCACAAAGCATTGCAGTCAGGCTGCTTAACATCAAATTTAAGAAAAAACCAAACAAACACAAACCAAAACTCACACAGATGGGGCATTACCTATATTACATGCAACAGTATAATGGTCAGAGCCCTCACCAAAGTCCTAGGAGCAGGGACATGATTTGGGAAAATAAATTGTTAATTCAAAAAATAAACCAATTTATATGTACATAGATATATATCACTCTGCCTTTTCAAATGAGCTTCAGAGTCATTCCCCTCCTATCCCTATGGGATCCTTCAGTCTTCGTTGCACCCACACAGTTCCAGTGGGTGTCTCTACTCACACTATTTCAGCTGGTGGCTCAGGAGCTTCCCTGGGCAGTGCAAGACAAGAACAGATTCCCACTTTCCAGGCAAGCATTTCAAATATTCAGTTTGTAATGTAAGTGGTGGGTCCCATGTACTCCACCTTCTCCATGAGTTGTCACTGAGATAGCAAGCTGGTAGTCTACTGCAAGATGGATAGTGAAAGCATCTAAACCCAGGAAAAGGTTTCAGATTGCATGTTCTACTTCATACAGGGCTGAAGCTTAAATACAAATGAGTATTTCATGTGCAGTCCTCTTTTCTGCTTTGCCTTGATGATGCCAGACAGTAGCTTTTGTGCATCCCACTCCCTGGCATACAGATCTTCTATTTATTTCATAGGGCTCCTAGGCATCTAACTGAGGTTTGTGAACCAAGGACTAAGTGCACTAACACTTTGACAGGAAGATGCTCAGAATAGCTATGTTTTCACCACATATGTCACAGCAGTGGTTGGGGAAGAAATTTCTATTCTTTGATGAGCAAAAAATGGAAATATTATGCTCAGAGGTAATGTTTTATGGCCTAAGCATTTGAAAACACTGCACCATAATCATAAAAAATTTCAAGACCCTCATACCTTCACAGTAACGCTGAAAAAAGAATTAAAAAGAACATCCTCAAGCTTAAGCTGAAACAATGCAAAGCACATTTGCAGATTTTATTTGCCTCAACACAGACAGTGGGGTTCACTGCAGCATTTAAGGCACAGGAAAATCTATTCCTGTCTCTAAGAAACTTGACCCAATTTGCAAAGACCTGCTTCTGAACACACTTAGGTGGTGGCAAGATGACCTTCACACTTACTTGTTACAAGCAGAGACGTGGTGGCCAGCTGTACACAGCTGCTTGCAGCGGCACGAAGAGTGCATCTCCACTAAATCTAAAGATCTACATCACGAATGGAGGTTGCCTGAACACGAAACCGATCAAGACCCATCCACGTGCCTGTCAGATTTGACATCTCACAAGATAAACAGGAGAGTCAAGCCCTTTGGTCCACTTCTGCTGGCCTTCCCTGCAGTCCTGAGCGTCCTCATGGCAGGGCTGTCAGGTCACACTTGGTAGAATGTCCCTGCTGCCATTCTGTGCCTCCCAGAGCAGCCAGGCCAGCTGCAGATAGTCAGTGTGTATGTGACTTACCGACTTGCAGTACCTGCTGAATTCCTCCATAGAGGGAGAAATAATGAGTCTCATGGAGTTCAAGTGGTCCATGCACATGGAACCCTTCCCCACAGTTTCCATTCCAGCTGAGCCCCATCCCCAGACCTGTCCCCTAAGCTTCATGACCTGTGCTCCCACAATCTGCAGGAACACACTTTCCTTTCAAGTGTCGTGCAACCACAACAAATCTGGGTCAGAGCACACTTACTCCTTTCTAATTTTTTCACTTTGAAGTTTTTTAGCCTAGCCTGTCAGAGAAGCCACCAGATTTGTACCTTGGGATGCCTTTGTTCTAAGCACCCAGTTTCAAGAGATACAAGAGTCATAGCCAAGATTCTGGCAACCAAATTCCTGATCACAAATCCAAAACAAACTCTCCATTTTATGGTCTCCTAACACTAGTTCAAAAATGTGCCAGTCCTACATTATTGTTGGTGTAGTCCTGGGACCTGCTACCATGATGTCCCCCACCATTTTTCCATACAGCTGCAGAGCTGGAGCTCCAGCACAGGCAAAAACCTTGAAAGGAAGCCTCCCTCTGAGTCAGGAATTACAATACTCCTCTGTAATTACTGCAAAGGAGGGGGGGACACACACTGAGTCACTGGAAACGCTATGGCGGATCAAGAACTACCTGTTATTTAAAACTATGTGCTAGACATTATCTCAGTATTTAGGGGAATTTTAACATTTTTACTCAGGTTGCTTTTCAACATCAGCTGCATCTGTACAGGGAGCTACTCATCGCCGCCCTGCACAGATCTGAAGTTTCTTCATTTACACGGTAAAAGGTAACAGTGTTAAAAGGAGGGATGCACAAAAGGGCAGGTAGGAGTATTTCAGGATGTGGGAACAGATAGAAAATGGATACAGCTCTTTCCCAAGTCAGTGTTCTTTTTATAACCAAGAGGGCAATGAGACAGCTCTGAGTCCTGCCTGCTCAGCCCCTGAAGGAGAAGCACCATGGCTATTAGGAACAAAATTCCCTCCATACTCCCTGAGAGGCCAGCTTGTCCACAAGCAGTTCTCTGGATCAGGCTGGCACAGGCAAAGCCATCCTGTTAGCCTGTCCAAGGGGGAGCAGATGCATGGCCTTCTTGGCCTGTTCCTTTTCCCAGGGCAACCTTACCCACTGGTGTCTGTGTCTGTGCAGCAGAGTTGGGACTTCTGCTACTGCTGCCAATGGACACATGCAGGGGGAAGAGTTAAGGGTTATGGAGAAGAGTAGCCCCATCCAACAGCATCTGGGCTCTGAAATCAGATCTGCATAGGAGGTTCATTCTCATTATCAGATCGCAGTGTTAAAAATGGGGAGAGAAAGATGCAGGTCTTCTTCCAGTTCTCACTCTCTACTCCTTCTCCTCCTCTTTACCAACACTTCAAGATGATTGTCCTCCCCGAAGCTCTCAAACTGTCTCCTCAACTTTACCAGCCTGGCAGAACTCACTTTTCCGTGTGCTGCAGAGAAGGCATGAAGTTTTACCTCAGTTGCTCTGAACTTTTATGGCTTTCACTTTGCTATGCTTAGTCCCACAGACTGTCATTAGTTAATTATACATCCATCAGTTCTCTTTACAGTGAATTAAAATTCCTGTTGTAATTACAAGTAAGTTGCCAATAGGTTAGGCTGAAAAAAACCCATGTTTGATGTACGTGTTGTGCAGGGGAAGAGGGAGTCACTGAAGAATGAGTTGGGGACAAAGAGGAAAAGACCATTCCATATTTGGTTAGATCAATAAAAGTGGCCTGAAATAAAAGTAAATGAGAAGTCTCTGAAAAACAATGGATCCTCATATAAATAAAATACATTTTTAAGCACTAAAATCTTCCCTTTCATGCTTACAAACCCAAAGGACCCACTTAGGTTAGCATCCCAAGCAAAGGAAGAAACGTGTCACTGCAACTGTGATGCAGCCCCTAACTGATCACAAAAATCTCCCCTGTACAGCAACACAGGCTCCACGAGATGTTGTGGAATATAGATAAACACATTTCAGGGACATTCTAACCCAGAGAATCCTGCACCAGCATAAATCAGTGGCGAGGAAGGGTCAAACGTACTCCAGTGTGCGTAAACACTCAGGACCTTTAAAGATCCACTTTTTTAACATACTTCTATCAGTCATGTGCATGCACACAAACACAAATCATGCTCCTTTATTCATTGCACAGGATTTCCAGGAAACTGGACATCTTTCCTCAAATTGTATGTTACCTGCCTCATAAGAGGACTCATACTTCCCTGGCTCTGACGTTAACGGTATTAATGCCACAGGATAAGGCAGAACCAGAAAGTCTGAGTGAATGTGAGCGAGCTGTGTGGGGTCAGCCCTAGGAGGGCGTAAACTGCACAGTCACCAGGGCCACAGTTTGCCAAGTGCTCATATCTGTTAACATTTCCTTTTCATTTGTCTGCCTGCAGACACTTTTGCTTTGTCTGTGGAATGTGACAAAGCTTTGTGCTTTCACATAGCACTGAAACGTTTCAACACTATCTGTAAGCAAGGAAACATTAGAGTGTGCTCAAAGGAAAAAGGGCTAAGAAGGATAAGTGCAAGCACAAACATTAACACAAAAGCAGTGGAGACTTTGAATGAAATATGAAAAACAGAACAAGAGCACTGGAAGAAGGCATACAGAACTTGTATGCCTTCAGGGCCTCCTGACACCACAGTGTCTGATGTCTAGCCTTGAAAATTACTTCCTAACAGCAAATATTTGCTGTGCCTGCTTCTAGACAGGTACCCTTTGAAATCCTGGCGTTGGTGTCCCGAGTGGAAACTACTGACCCCCTGAAATGGGGGGTGAAAGAGCAGCTGGGTGGGTGTCTGGCAGACAGCCAAGGTCAAGCCACCATAGCTCCATTGAGGTGTCAAAAATCAATGCAACCTAGGCCTGAAACTTTCCCTATAAGCATGAATTATAAGGTAACATCCTTGTTGCAGTCACACAAAGGCTCGCTTGAGTCTGCCCAGCTGCCTCAAACCAAGACTACTACCAAAATACAGAAGTTACTCTGTATTTGGGATAGAGCAAACAAGCCAGGCAGTCTCATGAGCTGCAACATCAGAAAGAAATTGTCCATGTGCCCGCAATCAACTCACTGCATTTAGCTAAAAAAATGTGGCTGAATGTGACTTTTACTATTTAGAAACATCACATAGAATCATTAAAGCCTTCTGTACTGAAGCTGAAGGAGAATGAATGGATTTTGTTCAGTACCATAAGTCATCCTTTCATTTTTCACCTGTTG